GAGCTGGGACCTGAAAATATTCTGCTTGAAAAACTGGTTTATCAGCATATTTGTAAAATGAATGACGTGTTATTTATGTCTTAGTGTCGGCACTAAAGCAAGCTGTTCCTCATCCTCCAGCTGATGAAGGCGTCTCCATCATTAATGTCCGAGACGCGTCCTTCGCTCTGCTCGCCGGTAACATCAGCGGCAGCTGCAGGAGGAAACGGCGAGTCTCTGCAGTTTGTAAAGCGTCTGTTCGTTATTCCCTTCAGAAGTCTGCGCTCAGACCACGCAGTACCCGTGGCTCGCCATGAGGGCGGTCTGGCTCTCCCGTCGCTTGTCCTTTTTCTTCTTCTGTCGGACCTTCCAGCAGGTGGCGCTGGCGCCCAGCAGCCCCAGCCCGACAGACAGCAGCACCAGTCCCAGCACCGTGATGGTGGACCCGTGGGAGTTGAAGGTGTAGGCCACCGCCGTCACCACAATGCCGGCGATGAGGACCACCACGCCGAACGGGATGGTGCAGCGGTAGCAGGACATCTCGGCGCCGCCCGTCGCCGCTGTGAGCTGGACTTCGTTGACATGCGGGACGTGTGTTGTCACGACAACTCTACGATCCTTCCTGGGCTTGTCCCGGCTCAGCTTCTCGGCGGAGATGGACGGCGGCACCTTCATGGCGCTCCGGGGGACCCTGCCGCCACCGCCTTTGCTGTGGAGGTCATCGGGCATTGTGATCTTGCTGGCGAGGAACAGGTGAGCCATCTTGATGCAGGTGTCAGGGATCGGCCAATCAGAGAACAGCTAGCTGTGAAGTCAGAAATAAGTTTTTGGTTACATCAAAGACATTAAAACATCATTTACGTCTGATATTGTTACACTTTGTTTTAAAACAGCTGCTACACATCAACGCCGCCTTCATGATCACCTGACCTCAGCCTCTCAGTGTGTAGCACCGGAGGGCAGGTTGGGGTCACGCGGGTCGTTGGGTCAGACCTCAAGTGGAAACGAGGCCAAACTAACGACTTTCACAGATTAAATGTCATCAGATCACAGATCATCTGTCCTCCGAGCGGAAGCGAGAGCGTCGGCTTTAAACAAAGCGTGAGGCAGAGGGAGGGCAGCCTGAGAGTGAAAGATCACAGGAAATGATGCGAGGCGTAACGAGGGCCCGGCCCCACTGTAACCTCATTATTTTCTCTCCTAATCAACGACTTTTTCTGCTGCAGCTTCTGACACAAACCTGCAGCTCAGCTCGTTTTATTAAGACGCGTGAGCGATGCTCTGAGCAGTGTCAGAGCTGGCACAGAGAAGCAGACGTCTCTACGGCCACGCCGAGCAGCTCACACCAAATCACTGCAGAAATATGTGGAAATACTGGATCAGAGATAAAAGATCTGAATCAGTTTGGATTGGAAAGGGCGTGAGAGCACAAAAAATCCTCTTAGATACAGAACAACACGAGTGTGTGAGAGAAGTCCGTCCTCACGGCTCTCATAAGCACTGAGAGGGTAAGTAGCCGCGAGAGCTGCTAGTGATGATTAACTGATCGTCGTGTGAGCTTCTCTACAGACGTTTTGGCGGTTCGCTGGTCTGAATGGTTCAGGTGTGTTAACACAACCTTTCCAGGAGTCGTCACAGCAGGTTCAGCCCTCTGCAGCCGTCCAATCAGAGTGCAGAGCTCAGAGCACGAACGAATGCCGCAAACCTCAAAGAGCTGAAGCTGTGACCGTCTGCTTCTCTCTCTGTGTGACCTCACAGCAGCCATGTTATTGGTCAGGTAGTGTCACTAAAAATGCAGCACAAACCTCTGCACACACGCAGAGGTCAGTTTGTCTGGAGCAGCTCACAACCATGATCGCCTGAAGCTGTCACCTCCCACCTGTCAGTCA